TTGTGGAGAGCCAGGTTTAACTCATCCACGGACTTTATGCAGCTCTGGGTACTTTTGCAAGACAGGTAATATATGTACAGTGAATATAAAATATGGGTTATTGACCAAGCTTGAGGTCAAGATGGCTGAATATTGGCCATTAGTTCTTGTTTTTGCGTGTTTATGGATTGACGCAGAGTGGAGGTCCATAAATAGCAAAGAAAAGAACGAGTTCAATATCCAGTCATCTTGACTGAACAAACTTGGTCAGTAAAGGGTTTATTATATGGAAAAGGGGACACAGCAGGTAATCCCAAGTGGGTAAGATAACGCCGTTTCACCCGCACAGGGAGTCAATCACAGTGCAGGATTCAGTTTATCTTGCCCACTCATGAAGCTAGCCACATAACAAAACATATTAAAATGAGTCATAATTGGAGCTCTTTCAACTAAATGTCTACAGTGTGAACATCTCGAGTAAACATTCTCATGTTTTTTATCTTTAGTTTTGACAACAACAGTTACAGTTTTGTTCAATAGACAGTTTTTTTTAATTTTCAGAAATAGCGTGGTAGCATCACGTCTGGTGTTGTAATACTACAGTTCCAATTTGAGATGTTATCTACACTTGTTAAGTGCCTTTTCTTTAATGACAGGAAACTCGCTTGTTTTTTCAGGGGCTAAGTCTGCCACACCTGATCAAGGACGCAATGCAAATATTTGTCCACGAGGAAGTTATTGTTTGGAAGGAACAGATGAACCAGAACCCTGTCCAGCTGGAACGTTTAGTAATGATTTGGGTAAGCTCTACCAACTTTTTAAGCCTGCCTTATGATTTCTATATAATATAAGATAACTGAACTAATACGCATGCTCTCATTGGTCATTAGGTGTGTTTTGATGAGAGTATGTAAACATGGTTGTGACTATTTAGATTCATGCATATTTTTTAGAAATATTATATAAATGCAATAGAGGACTTTTTCTGTGTTTGCATAGGGGGGTTGGGAGAATTCTCGAAAGTTATGCAAACCCTCTACTGCATCTTGGGTTTGCATAACTGTCTCAAATTCTCACAGTCCCCCTCATGTGTAGATGAGGCTATGTAAACACAGACAAAGTACTCTATTGTGTAACTATTACTTCTTTAAATAGCTCCACCTTGGAATTGAAGGTTTTTTTGTAATTGAAAGTTTGTATTTTTTACAACTCTGTCTTCCTCAAGATAGTGTCAATTTGGTTTTCAGTATTATCTTCATTTGGGTCACTTTACCCTAAACACCAACAGAACACTTTGTTTACACTGGGTAGTAAAGATTCCTAAATTTGATTTTCAGGATTACATAATGCCAGCCAATGTACACCATGTACAGAAGGATACTATTGTGGGTTTAGTGGAAGGACAAATGAAACAGGGCAGTGTCAAGAAGGCTATTTCTGTGTCCAAGGTTCAGTCCGCAAGCAGCAAGAAATCTGTCCTGTTGGAAAATACTGTCCAACTGGCACCCATGTTCCCGAGTCCTGCCCAGCTGGAACCTTTTCTAATACTACTGGCTTATGGAAAATAGAACAATGTACAAATTGTACCGCTGGATCGTACTGTTTCGAGCATGGAAGAACCCACCCCACTGGACCATGCAGAGAAGGTTACTTTTGTCCTACTGGGTCCTCAGTAGATAATGCTGAGCCATGCCCTATTGGTTTACATTGCCCTACAGGTACATACATACATTTTATTTTTGTTTTCAAATTAAAATTACAATTATAACATGCCCGCGGATAGCTGAGCTAATCTAGGCGGGTCATGTTTACACGAATTATTAATATACCACTAGGTACAAACGAAGTTGTCAAGAGATGAAACTATCTCTAGCTTTTCTATATTTCATAACAATGTAGTTAGCCTGAATCGTAACCTGGAAAATCTTCAAACTCAACTTTTGCATGAAGTAGATTTTCATTTTAATGTCATCGGAGTTACTGAAACAAAA